TGTCCCACTCCATAAGCGTGAGCTGACAAACGAATGCTCGAAATGTACGTCTTATTGAATGTAAAAAGCCAGTTTAGTAGCGGGACAACTACTGTAATACTGAAACGTTTGCGTTTGTGTGTGCGAGTAGTTGTGATGGGTGTCGCATGGAATTGTGAGGAAAGTACACTGGGATCACATACATATTGTGTAGGAGATGCATCCTCATCGGGAAGCTGGGTCCGCAGAGTGCTTAGAGGAGGGAAGTTCGGCGTAATCAGGTTTTAAAAGATGGATGCTCCCAGAGTCTTTGCAACCATTTCAATCCAACACAAAATACTTGTCCTTGCGAGCAGAAACTTGGGAGGAACCCACGAAAAGTCGTGTCCAAGGTTTACGAACAGTATCAATGCGCACATGGACGTAGGAACAATTGCTAAGATGAGGTTGAACCTGCGGATTACGAGTCGTGACCCATGGAGTTATTGGGCGTACCGAATAATAGACACGTAAGCGGAGCTAAAGTTGGGTATCGACTGAGAATTGATGGGGCCGGCAATTATCAGTCCACGTAAAACGAATCGAACTATACCGTCGATATGATTAACCTGTGGAGTGGAACTCACTCACACTGGCTGAAAACCGGACGCACAAAAATGAGCGATCTTGACCTCCTAAATTAGCATGTTTCGGCTACCTATAAATACAGTTAACTTATGGTGTAGATAGACTCCCAGTTTACCGAGCCTTAGTCTTTTGTATTCCGTCGGTTGGCTGGGCGCGTGACTGGGAAGTCAGACAGTCGCAGTCTCATAGGGCAGCTAGCAACAGTACAAAAGTCGTCAGTGGCAGAGAGCAGAGGTAAAGAAGAAGCGTTACAACAGTGAAAGAAGCGTTACAACACCGAACTAAAACGACTCCTCAGGGGGGTGACATAGTAAGATGTATCCACTTTAACAGTGACCATTGGATCCCGTAACATTTATCCGGGAAGTCTAAGCGGCGTGGCAAAAAGTAACTCAAAGAGTCAAGAGCCTTCATCTTCCTTGACAAGGTTTCACATAGCAAGCATGATGACTAACAAACGCCCCGACCACTGCGTGTTCGACTGAGAAGCGGTAGTCGAAGATTTCAGTTGGCGATGGTTGAGTTCGATCAAACCATCGGCAGTTGGATGAAAGCGGTTGTGAGAACAACTGAGCAAACGACCGAAGTCACGAAAGAAAAAGAAAAAAACTGCGCGGTCCCCTGTATAGTGATAGTAACAGGTGTGCTAAAGAAAGAAACACAAGTTTCAATGAAGATTCGCACAACTCTTCCATAAGAAACAGTGACAATTGGTCTGGATCAGTCACATTCAAAAAGATGTAGGCGAACGTGCAAGTAGTCAGTAATCCAGAAAACCGAAAATGCACTAAAAATAGATTTACAATGATCCCACATATGTACCGATTCATCGCCGAAGTAAAGCACTCCTTGTTGATGCGGAAAACCCATGAACGGCAAAAGACGTTGACAAAATACTCAGTCGAAGAACCAACAGCCGCTTTTCATTGATCGCTGGTCGACGAGGAAGGCCACTTATTTCAAGAAAGTTTGCTATATGTAAAGCAATTAGCTCATTTTTGCAACCTCCATGGACCTGGAAACTGACCCTATAGATACACACAGATGTAAGAATGACTAAAACTATGGCTAGAATTGATATCTCTCTTCGCGATGTCCACCATGTAATTGATTCTATTCAACCGTACTCCTGATGGTGTCCACCGATCCGCCATAAAACCGAGGGCCTGATATGCCATTGCGCCTTTTGAATATGTTTACCGTTCCACTGGGATTGAGTCGCATTACGAACAAGTAGAAAACTGCACGGCACAGCACGGTTTTATGCAAGGTCGCTCATGCATTACGAACCTGCTTGTGACGAGGCATGAGTGGTTGAAGGCAGTAAACAAGGGGACGTCCGTCGACGTGATATTCATCGATTTCAGTAAAGCGTTCGACAAGGTCAGATATGAGGTTCTCCTTCACAAACTCAGCATGTGTGACGTCAGTGGCTCTCTGCACCGGTGGATCAGCGACTTTCTTGTTGGACGAAAGTGGAGAGTACAGGTCGACGACCATCTAACTGACTGGTACCCCTCTACAAGTGGCGTGCCTCAAGGCACTGTGCTGGGGCCCACTCTGTTCCTGATCCACATCAATGATTTACCGCAGCTTCTCCGGTCGCCGTGTGCCTTGTTTGCGGACGACATGAAGATTTGGAGAGAAATCGACGCTCCCGATGACTGTGGCCTACTTCAGCAAGATCTCAACCGCTTATCCACATGGTCTGCAGAAGTTCTTCTCCCGGTCAACCCAGCCAAGTCCGTATTTATGAGCCTGGGGAAGGGTGCTAACGGCCGAACCTACACTCTTGACGGGCAAACGCTATATCCCACACCCTCCGTGAAGGACCTAGGGGTACTCTCACGCTACGATTTGAAGTCCGTGGACAACACGAACAGGTTATATCGGAACGGACTGCGCATGCTTTGGGCGCTCAAACGTAGCTTCTGAACATGGTCTGAAGAGGTTGCCACTCGCCTGTTCTCTTCTATCATTAGACCAATGCTAGAGTACGGTTCGCCCGCCTACTTTCCGATTACCCGACGCGAGGCACAAAAGATCGAACGGGTCCAACACGTTGCTACCAGGCCCATCCCGAGTTTACGTGCTTTGGGTATGAAGACCGGTGCGAGAAACTAGGGCTCTACACTTTGTCCTACCGTCGGGTGCGAGTCGACCTCATTATGACCTACCGAATTCTACATCTTGGTGAGTTCCCCCTGCTAAGGCCAATACTGCACTTACGAGGACCATGCAGCACACGCGGACACAGATACAAACTTGTCGTGCCGGATATGAAATGCGTTCCCCACCCACTGTGCTTCGAAAGGAGAGTGGTAAACATTTGGAACAGTTTGCCCGAACATGTGATTGAGGCAACATCTGTGCAGCAGTTCAAAACGTTGTTAGATTTGTATTTTGCCTCTATTCGCTTCAGAGAACGACTGCACACTTACGATGACATATCACATTTGTGAATCCTGAAATATCGTAAGTCGAATATTTTAAATATTACATGAGAACGACAATGATATTCACGGTTGACAATTTTATAACGTTTTTCGAAATATTTCGAAAGAGTTGTACAGAATCCATTTCTACTTGCTCTATAATACAGTATTCAGTATTCATCACACACTACAAGGGCGGCGCAAAACAGAAGAATGGCAATTACAGGCCAATGCATCACACTCCTACAATCGTCAGATTATACGGAAAAATGAGTTAAAGAGGGTGTGATGAATATCATCAACTCACCGGTTAATAGACGGGTCCCAACATGATATCCTTGACAAGCGATCATGCATAACCTGGCAGCTGCATTACTAGAACTAGATATTAGAGCCCACTGACTCGAAATTTGCACTTAATTCTATTCTTGGACATGTAAAACGTTTTTGATTGGGTGCCTAACACATGATTACTGACAAAGACAGCTTCCAGAACCCACTACTCGGTTGGCTATCCTTATGCCTGAACGGTCGCTCGCAAACAATCACCTTAGGAGATAATCGCTGCTCCCTGCATTCAATTACCAGCAGGATTATACAAGGAAATGTGCTCGGTCCACTATTTTTTCTGTTTTACATCAATGACATCAGTTTGTGATCAAGCATGGGGTACCGTTCTTAGTTGCCGATGACATAAAAATAGTCTACAAATCCCGACGAGTCGAGCGTCAGAAGAACTAGTACTCATTTAGGATAATAATCATTCGCTTGAGACTTGATGTGACAAGCAGACGATGAAGATCTCAGCACAAAAACCAAGTATCATGTGTTGCGGTTGCCTGATACCCAAAGGATCTATCAAACACTACAGTGAATGAATCTGTGTAAAACCGTCCACACGCGACCTCGGAATTAGATATTTGTGTACTTAACTTTTTTGAACAGATTGTGTGTCAGATAACAAGAGCCAGACAATCCGTGGATAGCATGTCACATAAGATATAAACAATCACAGCCAGAGTTGAACTATCTAAAATTCTTACTCGTCCTATCCTAGAGGATTGCAGCATCAACTGTGGCAATATGAGAAAATCAGACAGAACATCGATGGAAAGCCTTCATTTACCTAACACCCGTTGCGGAAGAAACGCTATCATAAACTATGGGAAGGGATGTCAGCAACTCCATCTCGATCCACATTAGCTACGAAAGACTTAAACACAAGTTGATACTGCTGTACAATCTGATTCATGGCAAACGTCAACATTACAGCGCAGTCATTGTCCTGGTTACACCACGACGCAGGACGAATTTGCGGTTTAACTACTTTCCAACCAGGTATGCTTCTATGTGGAATCGGCTCACAATCACGATCATGTCGTGTGAGACTGTGCCATCATTTCGCAGTAAGTTTGGAAGCTACCTCTACCTAGATATCACAACTTCCTTTTGTCCGAAGGGAAGATCACTTCATGAGCTATTTAGTGAAGACCAAGATGACGTCTAATGGACGTAAAACCACAACTTTACGCAATGTAATTAACCCTCAGTGTGTGCAATATACCCAAAGTAAAAAGTGGTTAGTATCTTCGCATAAAACACAAACACATGAGATACATTGCTAGAAACACAGGCAAACATTAGAACACAGATTTATTCTGTCCATGCAAGAACGGCAATACCGGTACGTATATGATTTGTGCCAAGCATGGACACAATTTCTCACCTGATGAGAAATATACCAATAATAATAATGATTACACAAATGAAAGCATGAGAGGTAAACGGTACACCAGGCTCGTTCACTTCACTGCAAGCTGGGTAGCATAGGAAATGGAAACCAATTGCAAAATAACATTCAGCTCCAATGTGAAAGCAATACACTGTTAATTCGGTTGAAACCGAATGAAACAAATGACGATGGTAGAATATAGTTGGCGACTTTAGCAACACACTCACCCGAATGAACAGTCTTGATATGCGTTTGCAAATTGTACTTGTTGAGAAACGGTTTACCACAGAGGTCACACGTATTGGGGTGTTCTTCTGGATTGCGGAACAGAGAGTTAATAATCAAAAATGAAACAAACAGCGGAAAAGAAGCAGAGAATAGCGGATAGAAGGTAAGAGTGATGTATCTATGTCGTGGTACACAAAGATCACAATGGCATGAGGGGATGGCGATGTGAAAGTCGACTATTAAATTCCAGTTGTCCAGCACTGCAAGAAAGATAATGGAAAAATAGTGTGTGAGCACTAGTTTTGGGAACCAAGTAAAGTGACAATACGCTGCTTTGTCCTGATGATTCAGGATGTAAAAGGAAGCAAAGCGAAGCAGCAATCAGTAGGTAGCATTATCACTGAAACCGCCTAGGGGGAACCCTAACGCTGACTTGGCCAACAGCAGAGCTTGCTAAAATCGCGTTCAGATAGCAGCCTCACTTGTCTCTCAGATCATTTCGGTGATCGATACTGGTGTCAAGAAATTTCCCCAGTCCATTTAGGACAGTCTATTCGAAGACGTTAACTTATCATAAACCCTTGACGTTCTTAGTGAGTGTATCCAAAGGAATCTATCAAAATTGCTCACCCAGAATGCAACCGTGGGCACTAATCCTGAGTGCGTATGAATACGCAATTTATTACATTCCAGGCCCTAACAATGGTATAGCGGATGCTCTGAATCGAATACTGCCCGCTACCATGAGAGAAAGTAGAAGAATTGGTGGAGTTAGCACATTTGATGCCATAACTCGACACTATGCCTTTGACAAGTCACATCATACGTCGACGGACCGATCCGGATCCCAAACTACGCCCCGTGATACGCTCCATCAAACTGGGTTGGGCTAGTAGAATTAGGTTTAACTCAAATACCAATTTGGAAAAACACCAGACGGCGGTTGCGCCTTATTGAGGCTCGTTAGTGGTGCGCATAATTCGGCCTGCTTCGGAGGATCGAACCGATGACTGTTAGTGACATTAGCCAATTACCACGCAGCCTATGCCACAGAGCCATGGGGGACGGTAGCCGGCCAATACGAATTGTGACCGAACTGTGATATAGCCCAACCCATTCTTCACTGCCATGCAAATGACATCGGTTGGCCTTCCGGCGTCAGGAATTCCCGGTTCCGGCAGGTATGAATCGAAATAACATCTATGAAATCCGTAAGGGCGAATAAGTATTACTTTTGGGTAGAAGGATGTTGGCGAATATGTTGTGTTTGTATCAATCAGTCGACAATTCACGTAAGTCAAATGCCTCACCGTAAAAGCACCAGACAGCCTTTTTTCCTTATTAGGGCTTATCAGTTCTGCGCATCCTTCAGTCCGATACGATGATTCGAAACCATGACTGCTAGTGACTTGTGCCAACTAGCCAGCAGCTTATGCCACTGAGCCATGGCGGACGATAAGCGGCCATCATGAATCGTTAACTACCTGTGATTTAGCCCGACCCAACCCACACTGCCATGCATGCACCTGCTATGCAGATGGCAGCGGCTAGCCTTCTGGGATCAGGACTTCCCGGTTGCCGCAGTATTCATAAATGCTATGTGGCATAAACTGTAGGCTAGTTCGCGCAAGACACTAGCAGTCACGGGTATGATCCTCGGGAGAGGACCGAAGGATACGCACCACCGAAGAGCCCCAAAAGGGCGAAATGGCTGTCTGGTGATTTTCCGGATACGTAGTTGAGTAATCCGACTTGCCGGCTGATTACGACGAACTCAAATAGCTCACCAAAATCCTTCCACTCATAGGTAAGAATTCCGTTAGACTTGAAACAGCGCTTCGGAAAAATGACCTGAATATACACGATGGCTGCATATTTTTGTGATCATATTCTGTTCCACCTTTGCTGACGCGCTCGTCCATCCTAAATGAACTTCACAATGGACATCCAGTTGATGCCCGAATGAAAGCTCTTGTACGTCGTTATTCCTGGTTGCTCCGTTTAGATACCAAAATCGAAAACTACCTGAAACTGTGTGATCTCCGCCAATAGTATCAATCGAGTGAATCTCTAGGTCCAATACACCCTTGATGTTGACCTGAGGAGCCATAGCAGCGTATTCATGTAGACCATTTGTCCATTGAACAAAACATTTCTCCGGTTGATAGTTGGTGCCTATTCGAAATGTGGCGATGTTTATCCAATGACTCATACCACGGCTGAAGCAACCATTTCAAAAATGCGACTACTGTTCGCAGTTTTCGGAATACCTGACACTGTTTGCACAGAAAATGGGTCCTGTTTTACCAGCAAGCTTTATGCAGAGTAATGGCATTCAACACGTGCACACAGTCCCATATCAACTTGCGTCAAATGGATTAGCCGAAAGGGTGGTGCAGAAGGTAAAATGGGCCTGGTAAAGCAGTTATCGGGGATAATTCAAACGCGATTAGATCAACTACTTTTCGCCCACAGAACAAATCGGACAGAAGCCACGGGTAAATCTCCCGGAATAACTGATTTTCGGTAGAACACTTCGAACTAGACTACAGCCATTATTTCCTAATCGTCGGTCGCAAACAGAAGCGAAACAACACAACGCAGTAACATTGGAGAGATCACAATGTAGTTTTCCAACCGATGGACACCGTGTATGCATGAATTCCTAACGAACAGTTACGGCAGCTCGCAGCCGTTGTCACAAGTGACGGTACCCAGACGGATCTTGAGTTAGCTGGTCTTGTCTTGAGGTAATATTCAGATCACATATGTCTGCGTTGTGGGGAAGCACGATAGAAGAGGAAAAATGTCTATTAATCCAGACAAAGGTAGAACAAACGACTCAGTACGGCGCGAATACTAAACTGACCACCACTTCGCAGATCACAGCGTGTACCTAAAGCCGTTAAAAATATCGTTCCCGCAGTATGACCTAAGCCAAGTGAGGAGGGGATCTCACGTGCGTCGATAACAGTGATTTGTCCAGCGCACCCACATCGCCTTTTATTGGTTAGCCTAGCATTGAGCAATCAGTAACATTACATATCATATGATTTATGAGCAAAACAGTTGCTACAATAAACTTGGCTACGTACTGTGGTTTTGTTTTGCCCGGCTACGATCTGGCGGCGTGTTTTTCTTAATCCCGTTACTAGGAAATACTTGGCAAAGTTACAACACGGACTGAAGTAAAACGGAGTTTCAGAACAGACTCGGCAACAAATTCGACAAACAAATGTCCTAATACTAACTCGAAACCAAGTCACGTCAACCCTATTCGACGATGAACAAGAGGCAATCAAACGTCTAAAGAAGGAAGAAAATGTTGTGATCTTACCAGCGGACAAAGTGCACATAAGTGATAACGGATAAACCAGAGTACATTAGTAAGTCCAAAGAACTGCTATCCGACATAAGTACATATCGCCCGCCCGATCAGAATCCCAGTACAAAACTAGTTAGACAGACCAACGCAATGCTGAAGAAGCTATAGGGAAGAAATGAGTTCACTAGCCATGTAACGATAGATAATGATTGAGCAAAGTGCATAAGGATGGAGTCTCCTTCCGATCAATGGTCTCACTACCCGGAATTTGTAGAGATTAAAACACCTGATTGCTGGACCAACGATGCAGCGCAATTCCTCAACAGACTGGGGGGTGTCAAGATAAAAGACGACGAAAGTTGTTCTCATTTGATGTTACAGCACTTTTCACCTCAAGCAGTCACGGACTTACCAAACAATAAGATGGAGCTATTTCAGAATCAGCCAAGCACAGCGCTAAAAGGACAACTCGGGAGTTTATGGAAACTCTTGGACCTCCGCATGACAATTATTTCCGCTTTGATGCAGAAGTATACAAACAACTAAAAGGAATGCCCATGGGAACTCCAATATCTGGGATTAATGCCGAAGCTGTGATGCAGAAATTGGAACGCATTGCAGACATGTGGAGGACACTTTTGTCATCACAGAACAAAACAGAGTACAGACATCGCACGCTTCGCTCAACAGCAGATTCGATGATATAAATCGAATTCACAATCGAATTAGAAGATAAAAAGTTGCCATATATGGATGTGCTAGTCAACAGGAACACAAACTGGACAACGCAAACATGCGTTTATCGAAAAAACGGTTACAGACATTAAACCACTACAGTAACCGTTCGATGAATCACAAAAAGCATTCAAACCCTATTTAAAAGAGCGGAAACACATGAATGAGGGAAGAAAACCATCTGCATCGAAAGTCCAGAAACAACATTTATATATAAATTTAAGCAGAAGGAGTTTAATGAAACGAACCAACAGCAGAAGCCACAATAGAAAACAAAAGAATAGTGCGCGCCCACTAAAATAACGTTTCCGAACTAGAAGAAAGCTTGCTACAGCCATATGGAAATTCGGTGGTCCACATTTCAAATGTCACCTAGAAGAAATCAATTTCCAAGCCTAAGAACAAAGCCGATCAAAGCAACTAAAACAATTTTTGTGTGCATTCGTCACAGTTAGACACAGGCAAAAAGCCACCACACATCCAGGAAAACGCTAGACGGCCTTTTCGTCCTATTGGGACTCCTCCTGCAGGATTCGAACCCGGCAGAATTCGGCGGGTGCTCGCTACTGAGGAGTCCCAATAGGACGAAAAGGCCGTCTACTGCTTTCCTGGATGTGTAGTATGGCTGTTTGCCTGTGTTTAACTGCGATGAATCCACATAAAAACTGAATAAACCCCTACTACTTACAAATAACTAGAACAATGCTATCTACCAGATAAAATACATCAAATGTGACAAAAACTGCGTCGGAAAAATGGAAGGAAGCTTCGCAAATGTACCGTTGAATAAAAAACCGCTTTTAGAAGGCGTGATGAATGCACGCTGGTTTCCGCATATCGAGATCAAAAAAGCCAATTAGATCTGGAAGATGTAGAGATTTTGGCACGTGAGAGTACAAATCATGTGAGGCAATTTCCGGCAGCATGACACTCCAGTCCTACGGGACTTGTTAAGCAACGTTTTTTACCCGTAATAAACCATTGTTCCATTGTTCAATCGACCGACACATTGGACTGGACCGAGTATTCGCAAGATTACGTTCGAGGGATCGCCAGTCCAAAAGAGCAAACATGGTGGTGAACCGGAACACTAGATGAACGGAACGAGCGACATAATTCACCGCAAGAATGAGCAGGTAAAGGTCACAGTGA